CTGCAATTTCTCAGGCTTAAAGGTATTCTGACACAGCCGGCAATCTGCCACACAAGGGAAATTCAGCACAGCAAATGCATGCAAGTCCATCTAAAACACAACTTCCTCAATCTATTTTAATTAACCATATTTTATTTACTCTGATTAGTTGAGGAATATATAAAAACAGCATCAATATGAACTGTTACCAAGGAGAATGGTTCGTTCTATCTCATAAATGTGTTTCATCCAACATATTTCCAGTAAACAAGCTTTACACCAAAGAAAATACCACGTACACTTGAATTAGTAGGGGATACTTCTTTGATCTGTCAAAGTGAGGGGGAAGGATCATCTTGTACCATAAAGCTTTGGGGGTGAAAAAGAAAGAAAAAATAATTTATTCCCAAGTATTTGTGACAGTACTTTTAAAACAAGATACAACACTAAATCAATTAAAACAGTATTATTATAACTTTAGAATATAACTGAAATAGATTTTGGTGAGCACATTTTATAGTTATTTCATGAAGGGCTAGAAATCTTGAATACATGTTTGTTCTAGAAGCACACATTTTAAAATTAAAATTAGATATGCACTGAAAAAATGCTAATGTTGAAATGTAAGATTAACTTTATTCACAAGCATATCAAAGATGTTAGTAAAACTAAGTATTTTCACTTATTATTACAGTAAGCTAATTTTACTTTTATCTACAATATTTTGTAGGGTTTGGATGGCAACATTTTACACACACACACACGTAAATGAATATATATATATTTTTACAAGCAAAAAAGTACTCAATTTCATATTTATAAAGAAGAGTTTTTAATGGTCTTACTAATTTCATCCATTTCAAGTTTCTTAATTTCTTCTTTAGGCAGTTGGATATTTTTTAAAGCATTTTCCAAGTCTTTATTTTCTTCCAGGATTTTAATTTCTTAAAGAAATTGAAATGCAAAAAAAAAAAAAAGAAATTGAAATGCAAATTTTAATTACGATTTTAATAAACCTTTTTTTCCCTTAAAATTCTTCTGGCTTTTATATATATGAAACCCAAACTATTTAAAATTGCTTAAGGAGCTTCATATTGTTTAGTATACATCTAAAACAGTTTTTAAAGAATTCATGCTCTCCTGAAGGATATCATATTTCAATTATTGTCCCCTAAATGATACATATGGCATTGACACACATCACAGAATCACAGAAGCTTATTCAGCCACATTTCCTCCTTTCAAACGCGTTTACTGCACATGAACTGACTGAGTAGGTGGAATTTCATCATCTCCTGAGAAAAAGTGGAAGAAATTGCTGAGCCCTTCCATTTAAAATATTTCATTATTCAATTCTATTTCCAGAATGTTAAGTTAAATATTGTTTCTATGATTTTCATATCTACCTCTTAATCTTCTGTTATATTTTATTAGAATCAAAAATATATATAGTAACTGAATTACTGGGTATCTTCTTCTTTCCAAACCTTTCTCACGAGGCAGCTATTTTGATAAAATCAGATAGGATCTCAAATGCAGACCTTACACTCTGCAGGGTCAGTTGTTTTCATTTGATATATTATCTTATTATATCCAGGCTTATTTTAGTCTATGAACAGCTTTCTTTCACCTTGAACATTTTCCCAATGCTGTGTATACTTTAACACAGCAACCTCTCCCACTTTAACTTTGACAGTGAACAAATTCATTAAACTGGATGCTGCTGATTGACGGTGTGCATAAACAGGCTTCTGGAAACAGAGCGTTTAACAAGCTCTTCTGGAGTCGAGGAGCGTTGGCGTAGTGGGGTAGCAAGTTCAGTAGTTGGAAGTCCCTCGTGCTCTGCGGGAGCCAGACGAGGCTTTCTACTCCGGGAAATGCTGGTATTGGAATCCAGAGGAGCAGCTGCAACCTATCTTGCAGGGCTGCTATGAGCCCCAGCCAAGTTAATGATCGTGAGGGCGGTTTTGTTTTGGTTGGGCTGAGTCAAAAAGTATTGCTACAAAGTAACAGAACCTTTGCTTAAACAAAAATATCAACATGTGAAGAGATGGTTGTCCGATGTGTCCTCCACCTAGGTCCATACACTTCAGGAGGCAGTATTTTCCTCTCTCCGATTCTTCCCTGAAAGAATGTTTCTGCCCACTTTGGTTTACGCCAAGTCAGGCTGCATTCGGGGATTCTCAAGGATGCTCCTTTGACATGTTTTGTACGTTCAGAGCCCAAGGGTGGATGAGGTCAGATTTCCCAATGAAATTCTGGCAGGGCAACCTTGGCTCACCTCAAGGAATCGGGCTGTGCACTGCAAGGATAGAAAACAATTTCCTTGGTGTAAATTTCCTGGCCTTTTTCTCGCCAATACAGTTTCCATTTTCCTAAAACTTATTCCTAATAAACCCCCCTGGACTTCTTATGTCCTTCAAGAAAATATATCGGGGAGACCCTCTCAAACTGCCACTGAGTGGACTCTGACTCTGTGGTGTTCCCAAAAAAACCCATAATTTTCTGAGCTGACCTCTGTGCCTTGCGTTTCACTGGCCCAGCAAGTCCCCTCAGCAGCTACTGCTTTGCTCGGGTCTTTTTGTGCAGACCCTGTAAAGACCAAGGCCAGGGTCATACGGAGAAGGCTTGCCTGCAGCCATTCACTAATCACAGAGGTGGATTTAAACACATTGTGTTTGGACTAAACCTGCGCTGCGTATCAACTAGACCCTTTTCTTACTTACTCATATTTTGAACATAGACGACACCAATCATCCTCTAGAGGAACAACTCATCTTTTTATAATATACGAAATTTAATTTTAAAAGAGGGTCTGGATGACTTCTGAGACATGGACATTTCTACAAAAGGTAGCCTCTGAACTTCTTGTTCTGTGTCTGTTTAAAAAGCGCTCCCTGAAGATAGGGAACCCAAAGGAGTCCTGAGAACTACCTTGAGTTGACTAAGTCTCTTCCCTTGTGACTCTCCGTTTTCATACACTCATGGCATTTTCTCCAATGCGTTAGATTTAAATTCAGCACAAGCAGAGATGTTCGGGGTATAAGTTGTGCATGAGACAATCAATTTCGCTTTAACTTTGGAAAATCCACCTGGAAAGAGATACCTGTGAGACTGAAAAGTTAAGAGCACAGAAATTGCAGGCGATCGTAAATGCACAAGAGCCAGTTGTTCCTTCATTCTCCTTGTGTGGACCCAGCATATGGAGCTGTAGCGGTTTAGAGATCCTGTGTGGAATCAGCAGAGTGGCGGCATTGCTATTTATTCTTTTATGACAAGTGCAGAAAGTCAGAGATAATATGCAGGTGCTGTCATGTTGGTTTGTGTTTGACATCTCTATTTTGTTCCTGGCTATGGAACATTTCTGATTCTTTATTTATTGAAATGTCAACTTGAATTCATAAGCTTCCTTACTGCCTCTAGTTCCGGTGTTATTTTTTTAATGGATAGCAAGTAATGTTCCCGCCTCTTGGAGAAGACATGGGTCTTCTGCATCAGGTTTGCAGACAGTGAGGGGTGGTGACTGGGCTTTGCAAGACAGGTTTCCATCACCTAGCAAGTTGGTAAGGAGTTCAGACAGCACCTTTTACTCTCTTCCATGTATCACCTGTAGACTCATCTATCATTGCAGACCCAGCCCACTCACTACCCAGGGCCTGGCATGTTGCATGTGCTTCATGTGATTGATTTCTGTTTAGATCACATTGTTGGCGGTGGTGTTGGTGTTGTTAGATGCCATGGAGTCCGCTCTGGCCCATAGCGACCCTATGCCCATCAGAACGAAACCCTGCAGAGTCCTGCGTCCTCCTCACAGTGTCCCCACGCCTGAACCCACGGACGGACGCAGCCGCTGTGTCAATTCAGCTTGTTGAAGGCCCTCCTCTTTTTTGCACCCCTCCAATATACCAAGCATGTTGCCCCTCTTTAGGGGCTGGTCTCTCCTGACAATGTGTCCAAAGTATGTAAGACAAAGTCTTGCCATCCTTGCCCCTAAGGAGCACTCTGGCCTTCCAGAACTGAACTGTGTGTTCTGTCAGCAGACCGTGGTCCTTTCAATAGTCCTCTCCTGCACTGCAATTCAAAAGCATCGATGCTTCTACGGTCTTCCTTATTCAATGTCCAACTTTCGCATGCATATGATGCAATGGAAAATACCATGGCTTTGGTCAGGCATACCTGAGTTCTCCAAGAAAAATTCCTGCTCTTCAATACTCTAAAGAGGTCTTCTGCAGCAGATTTACCCAGTGCAGTACACCTCTTGATCTCTTGACTGCTGCTTTCACGAGCACTGATTGTGGATCCAAGAAAGACAGAATCCTTGAAAACTTCAACTTTTCTTCTTCTTTTTTTAAAAGATCATCTTATTGAGGGCTCTTATATCTCTTATAACAATCCATACATCAATTATATCAAGCATATTTGTACATATGTTGTCATCATTATTTTATAAACATTTATATTCTATTTGAGCCTGTGGTATTAGCTCCTCTTTTTACACTGCCCTGTAGCCCCTTGATAAATTGTATATTATTATTACTTTTATATGTTACACCAACCACCATCTACCTTCCCCCATGGTTTCTTCCACCCTCCCCTCACCATCTTCCCCCTATCCTCCTATTATCACTACTCCCATTTCTGTTCCTGAGGGGTTTATCTGACCTGGATTCCATGTCCTGAGCTCTTATCTGTACCTGTGTACTTGATCTGGTTTAGACCACAGTGAAAGGCACTTTTATCCATTTATCATGATGGTCCCTATTGATCCAGTTATGAGGATTTTGGTCTTCCTTATATCCATACTGAAGGCTACAATCCTTGATCTTCATCAGCAAGTGCTTCAATTCCTCCTCACTTTCAGGAAACAAAACTGTGTCATCTGCCTTGCTCCAATCCCAATGCCACATTCTTCTTCATATAATCCAACCAGCTTCTCAGGTGATTTGCTCAGCATGTAGATTAAACAAGTACGGTGAGAGGAGACAAACCTGAGGTGCACCTTTTCTGATTTTAAACCAAGCAGAATTCCCTTGTTCTGTTTGCACAACTGCCTTTTGATACATGTACAAGTTCCACAAAAGCACAATGAAGTGTTCTGGAATCTCCATTTTTCTCCGGGTTATCCACCGCTTCTTATGGTTCACACAGTTGAATGCCTTTGCATAGCCAAGGAAACATAAGTAACCATCTTTCTAGTATTCTCTGTTTGAGCCAAGATCCAACTGACATCAGATTAGTCATGATATACTGTCCATTCACTTAAATTGAGAATCTGATAAATAGGGCCAATAAGTTAATTCTAATGGGCACCTGTCATCCTCAAGACAACTACACCTTAACTGACCTTTCAGTGCCAAGTGACAGCCCTCTGGGCTTCCACAGCATGTGGCTCAATCGCTATCTGCTATTTTCAAACCTCCAACTACACAATATCTTCACACTCAGAATATGGCCTCGCTCCACTTCATAGAGAAAATGAAGGAATTGCACTGTCTTCTATCATGTCTACAAACACCCTTAAATGACACCAGTAATTTCCTCCTTCTCTCTCATTACAATTGTAAGAGACCCACTCCTCATCTCTATGCTTAACTCTATCCTTGTCCAACTTCTCAGGCACCGCTGTGCACTCTCTTTTCACCCCGTTCAGTTTTCCAGTTTCCCCCATCAACACTTCACCATGCTCAAATGATTGTCACCTTTCAAAAACAAAACCAAATCTCCACCAATCCCTTCCAGTCATCCTCTGACCTCTCCCCAGTGTTCACAAACAGACTTCCTGAATATACTCTCTTTTTATGTACCTAACTCACGGCCCTAGGACTCCTTGGGTGGTGTGCTTGGTTAAGCATTCAGCTGCTAACCACACAGTTGGCAGTATGAGTTCACTCAGAGGCACTGTGACCAAAGGCCTGGCAACCAGCTTCTGGAAAACTCTATAGAGCACAGTCGTTGAGCAGTCAGTCAATGGAGCACAGTTCTACTCTGACCTGCAGGGGTTGCCATGAGCAAGCATCTACTCAACAACCACTGGTTTTTGTTTTGTCTTGGGTAGGCCTATGAGTCAGAATCGACTTGATGGCAGTGAATTTGGTTTGGGCAACTAACCAGTCTGGTTTCCACATCAACTGCATCACTGAAACTGCCCTGGCTATATGGGGTTCATTTTCTTCTCGTTAAGATTTGGAGCCGACCTTGCATCACTCTGCAGAACCTGACACTCACTCTCTTCTTCCCTGCCAACTAGAATGTTCTTTCCCCCTACTTTTCAGGGACCCATACCCTCAAAGTTGTTCTTCTGTCTTCTTCCTTCCATGCAATCTCCTTTATAGGCTCATTTTCTCTGTCCAATTCATGGGTGTTCGTGTTCTGCAAAGTTTAATGCTAGGCTCTTTCTTTACTAGCCCCGCTCGCCCTCATTTTTCCTACCCCGTGGTGTTTATCCACATCCCTAGCTTAAGTAAGCATGTGTTCTGGCCGCTGAAGACTTCCATTTATTGATCTTCGGTTCCTACCAATTCTGTCATCCATGTTCAAAGCGATGTATCTACAAGACAGCTCCATTCAGATGTCTCATTAGTACCTCACACTGTATTTTCAAAATGAAATGTATAATGTCTCCGAAGGTTTATGCTGTACAATGAGACCCCTCCTTCAATTAAAAAAAAAAAGCACCAATATCAATGGACTTGACCAAGCCAGGCAGCTCAGCACCATCTTGATACTTGAACAAGTCTCTGGTTTGATGCAGTCATCCCTAGGAACATTGCCTGGACCTCAGAGTCCAGATGAGGTAACCTTTCCTTCTCTGTGCTTTCAGCATCCCTGGATGCCCCCTTAGTACCTGCTACACTGTATGATAACTGCTCAGTTATACTTTTGCTTTCCCCACTCAGCTGTACTTGCCTTGTGGACAAGGATGTTGTCCAACCCACTATGGAGCCATTTTATGTTCTGGTACAGCATCTGGTGTAATGTGGTAGGCACCCAAACCAGACATCTGGGATGAAGATTACTGGCACCAAATGCAGTGGAAAATGGGTGACAAAACTAAAAATAAATAGAAGGCAGAGTACCTTCTCTAAAACGACAGCTCCCAAGCTTTTCTGAGGAAGCTATCAAAAATACAGATTCCCTGGTCCAATCCATGCTGTACTGCATTGTGGTCTCTGGAAATCGTTTGCGAATCAATATTTACAAAAACCTCTCGGGAAGGGCTCATTATCAGGCGAGCTCGAGGGTCTCTGATCTGAAAGGACTTTCATTCTACTTGGTGCATTAGAAAAGAGAAATAGATGTGACCCAGCTACATGAAGACTGGACACCTTTTAAATATTGGGTGAAATAATATAGTCATGTACACAGTACGGTATCTGCCATGAATGTGGCAATGCTATCAAGAAAGTGTAAATTCCTGTTTGGGGAAGATAACCTTTATTTTGCCGTCACAATGTCATGATGCAACGAAGAGTACACATTCTCTGGTGATTTCCATTCAACGAAAATCCTTCATATTTGAAAATAGTATTGTTTTCCAAGTTTTCCAACTGCAGCCCAAAATGAGCCAAGTTTAGAAATACAATCTGTCATTTTTGGGAAAGGATTTCACTATTAGACGCAGGTAAACTAATGTCTAAGTGAGCTTAATTCACGGTTCCATTATTACAAGTCCTGTGCAGGGTTCTTGAATTGACTCTGCTTTTCCTCCGTGACTTTTTTTCTCCTAGCCTTGAGCCACTGAGCTGGCAGCCAGACTATCCTGACACTGTCACCTGACTTGTCACCCACGCTCTCCGGAGACCATCCTGGGTATCAATGCTGAGAGAAGTGTCTCTCTTTATCCCTGCTCTCCAACAAATCTAAACCTATACCGTTGTTTAATAATAAGAAAAAAATTAAAACTAGCAGGGGAATTACATGAGAAATTATCCACCTGGATAACATGATTGAGAGGAAAAACGGTCATCTCGGAGCCTTGGACTATTCTGAACCAATCTCACAAATATTGGATGGAGAACAGGCAGGCTCGATAGCAGTTGAAAATGGAAAGAGCCTCCCAATTTCAGGGTTTCAAATGTGGCAACAGTGTGATGTAGCTGTTAAAACAAAAACGCTAGTGTGACAGTCACCCTCTGCTCTCTATCTGGGGCTTTGTCTCCAGTTGGGGATGCTACAGAAGACAGAATTTTTATGTGGGAGGGAGGTTGTACTGAATGTCCTGAGTTTCTTTCCAATTCCAAACTTCTGTGCTTTCTAGAAGACTGATTTCAGGAGACCCGACTAATCCCTCTGATATAACTCACCGACAGCCCATCAGGTTTTTTACCACCAATAATTGTTGAATTTCATATGACCGGGTTTAACCCAAGGAACAGCCAAAGCTATGCCTTGCGTTCTTCAGTGCAGTGCTACAGGGCACTCAAGACTACAGCATGCAAGGCAGAGTACCTTGATCAGTGCGGCCATCATGAAGGGTGGACATGGGGAGTCCCGGGCCTGTGAGTGGAATAAAAACAAACATATGGCTCATTTTAAAATATGTCTGAAACAAGAATTGCTGATGTGTGATGAGTATCAAACTCAAATACTTCGTTTAATCCCAAAATACATTTAAACATGCGAGATCAGGACCCAATCAAAGATGGGAGCGATCATTGCCTATGCACTTCTCCAAGAGTGATCCTGAACAGTGTGTTACGTGTTGGGGTGCTCACTAGGTCACCAGGCCCTCCGAGGGAGCAAGATGAGGCTGTCTACTCCCATAAAGATTTACCATCTTGGAAACCCACAGGGTCAGTTCTACTCTGTTCTATAGGGTCGCTGTAGCAGCTAGAATAGACAGGACGACAATGAGTTTGAGTGTAAGAATTATACAAATAGATCCATGAAGCAGCAGTGCCAAGTGGTGAGGGAAGATGTCATGCTGTATTAGGGAAACATTAGTTATGTCTTTATTGTCAAATAGCCTTCCCCAGGACCCATGTTGTATTTTTTATTTTTCAAGTATAGTTTTATTGGCATACCCTTAACATATTATCCAGTTTAATCACTCAATCAGATTAAGAAGAGTTGTGTGATCATCACCACGATCCATTTCAGAACATTTCTTCTTGTCCTCATTCTCAGTAACTCCTCATTTCCCTCTATCCTTGCCTGCCATGCCCCTAGGTAATTATTGATCCAGTTTTACCTACCCTGGATTTCATATACACAAAAATCCTACAGAACACACACAGGAAGCAAACAAACAACAACCCCCCGTGCCATGCCCCCCCAAAACAATGACCATACAAAATATAGAAAAACCTCACAGAAAAGAAAGCAAAACATGTTAAAAACTGTAACAACTTTAAAATGGGTCGAAAGGGAGATCCAATGACATGGTACTAATTTTGGCTTCTCGGTTCAATGTTCAGTATTTTTGGTAGGTAAAATCCAACATCTCTGATTTCATGTAGCTAATGCACCCAGCCCCCCACCCCACCCCCACCCCGCCCCATACTGTAGTGGCTTGTGTGCTGCTCTAATGCTAGAAGCTATGCCACCGATATTTCAAACACCAAAAGGGACACCCAGCGTGGGCAGGTTTCATCTGAGTTGACAGACTGAGACAGACTAGGACAGGTTTAGTCATCCATTTCTGAAAACCTAATGATCACAACGGGACATTGTTGGACATAATGCCGAAAGATGAAACCATTGAGTGATGATGAAGCTGGCGCAGGACTAGGTAGACTGTTCTGCTAGACTTACGCTCATTATGTATTAGTGTCCACTTGACCGCAACTAGCAAAAACAAATGCAGAAAAAAATATGCATATTCAAATATGCTGTGGAGGTCACACTCCCCAAGGGACACTCAGCTGAAGGTTTGTGTGTCTGAAGTTTCTCAGGAAGTGCTGTTGGGATGAACAATGGTGGGGCTAGGGGAGGAGATGGAATGAAGTGCAGTCATAAGAAAGGCCTCAGACAACCATTTGGGGAGCTTGTGCTTTGGGGTGGTGTTACGGAGTTGACCAAAGTTGAAGCAACAGGGCCGGCTTTCACTCCAGTTTGGAGCAGTCGTTGAATGCGGTTAGAACCAGGGCAAGCTCCACAGAACAGGTAGGAAAATAAGTGATCGAGTCCTGAAGATGAGGAGCCCTAGTGGTATAGTGGTTACCTGTTCAGCTGCCATCCGCATGGTTGGCAGTTTGAAACCAACGGCACCTCCACAGGAGAAAGACTAGCCTTGCTATTCTTGTGAACAGTTACTGTCTCAGAGACCCACGGGGGTTGCTGTGAGTTAGCAGTGAGTTTGGTTTTAGTCCTGAAGGTTGCGGATCTGGGTGGCACACCAGGGTCTATACCAGGGTCTACCAGGGTCTATTCAAATACAGCATTCAGATTCTACGTGCCCAAACGGGCCTCACTCCATTCCTTACCCTTTTAAAACGTTTTATTGTGAATTAGGTGAAGGTGTACAGAGCGCGTCATCAGTCTTACACTCGCCCAGTCATACATAATTTGTTTCACGTCATTGATCACAATCCCCACCGCGTGACATTACTTATCCCACCTTTCTCTTGTTTCCTGTTTCCATTCCGCCTTTTATCCTATCCCTTCTAAACTTTGTTCTTGAGTAAATGCGCCCCGTTTGCTCTACTGTTCCTCTTACAGAACCGCCCACTTGCTTGGCTAAAAATGGATCCATGGAGTGAATTCATTTCCAGACCTCTCCACTGACTAAGGGCTATAGTCTCAGGCATTTCACCAGAGTCTATGTGACCAGTAAAACTGATATTTCTTAAGATTTTTATTTTTGTTCCACATTTTTCTCCCACTCTATCCAAGATCTAATGCAATCATGTTTAGAACAGTTGGCAGTGGCAACTGGGTACTATCTAGTTCTTATGGTCTCAAGAGTTGTAGCATACAAGTGTTCATGTGACCTACTTTAAGTCATTGGACTACTTGTTTCCACGTATCTTCAATTTTCTTTACTCTTCTCTACTCCAAACAGGAAGAAACCACTAGTAGGACCTTAAATGGTCACTCACAAACTTTGAAGATTTCAACCGACACTCCCCAAAGTAAGATGTAGGACGCTCTCTTTGTGGACTAAGTTAAGTCAATGGACACTGGTATCCCTTGAGACCATAGTCCTGACCCCTCAGGTCCAGCGACTTATTCTCTTAAGGTACAGTGAACCCTCGTTTATCGCGGTTAATCGGTTCTAGACCCTACCGTGATAAATGAAATTCCGCGAAGTAGGATTCCTTATATCCAAAAGTTTTACCTTTTCCTGGATGGTGAGCATCTTCCTCTGGCGCTTATTTTTATTGTCAGAAGGCTTAGAAGAAGCAGCTCGTTTAGGAGCCATCATAGGGCTTAGATAAAATTTCTTAAAAATCACAAACAATTACAGTACACTGTACAAAAGCAAAAATGCATCTGATATGTAGCTCCAATATGTAGCGATGCAGACAGAAGCGTGTACAGTATGAGCCAATCAGTGGCAGTAATGACAGAGCATGCGCTGTTATGCAAAAACCGCGATAGAGTGAAGCCGCGGAAGTCGAAGCGCGAAGTGGCGAGGGTTCACTGTATTCAGTTATGTCGAAGAGAAAACTGACCGTTTAAATGTGATATATAAATAATTAAATTCTAAGTTTATTTACTTGAATTGTAAAATAATACCTAGGAAGAATAAATTTGTTCAGGTAGTTGCAGAGTTCAAAGCAACAACTAGTGCACTTGTAGGTAAAAGTTCATTGGGCACTCTGTGGGCTTTGATGCCTCCTTCTGAGTGGAGGAGGCGATGTGAGAACAGCATGCCTGGTTTCACACAAACAGGGAAATTGCTTTTGGGGTAAGCGCTAGAAAAATATCTGGAGCATCAGTAGCTCCTTCAGCCTCTCTCCTGGAATGTTTTCTGCCTGCAGAGAACATGTGTTAAAATCTGTTCCTCAGTAGTGCAAGTGTGACAATGTCACACCCCATCGGGGCTCCGAGACTGTCTACTTACATCCACGTCAGGCTACGTCATCCTAAGTCCTCTGTGTGTGCTCATCGGGACCATGAGCACAGCCTTGCCAAGTGCTAAAGCCAACATTTTGAGCTTCACTTGCCAGCCTCTCTCAGTCTAGCTTAAGCCTTTCTGAACTTGGCTTGGGGGCATGGGCTGCTATTTGGAAGGCCTCTCAAAAACCAGCATTTCCTTCTTGTAGAGTCTCAGAAGTTGATAGATTTTAATTGACTATTTTAATTTTTATCCATTTTTCTTTAAAGTTTTTAAAAAATGATCAGTATACCTATTACTACTAGTACTATTATATTATTATTTTGGTCCGAATGTAGGGACCTGACATATGGATTTGACTGCATAGACTTCTACTCCATCGACCTCCGCTCTATGGCAGTGCCCTGGTATTTTAATTGACTATTTTAATTTTTATCCATTTTTCTTTAAAGTTTAAAAAAAATGATCAGTATACCTATTACTACTAGTACTATTATATTATTATTTTGATCTGAATGTAGGGACCTGACATATGGATTTGACTGCATAGACTTCTACTCCATCGACCTCCGCTCTGTGGCAGTGCCCTGGTAGTGGAAATGGATCGATCTGTAGTCCTTATATGGCGACACCGATTCATGACTGACCTCGGTGACACACACACACACACACACACACACACACACACACACCTGAGGGCAAGTCCTTGATGAGTTAACATAAATCATCCAGATCTTTCTCTCCGGTAGTGTTTTCATTCCACCAACCTCATTAACACGATTGTCCCAGGTTTCATCCTATAACTGGGGATTTATTCACACACACCCCCTCCAAGAGTTTGAAGTTACATAACGAGGCTTTACTCTTCATCCTAAAGGGAAAGATTTCAAGGTTTTTCCTATGATGGCGCAGTGACTCATTTTATTGGAGCTTCAAAAACACCAGATGATGTGGGGCTTCCCACACAGGATATTTTTTGCTAAATGGGAAATTACCATACTGCCGAGGAAGAGGGAGTGGTGGAAAAGTCAGGCGATTCAAGTGCTGGAAAGGACTCTCCCATCAACTTTTGATCAGAGCTTAGTGGTTTGTTGAGTTCTTATCTCTTAGGTAAGCACTAACGCTCAAGTAGTAGAGGCCAAAGTTACATAAAATGCAAAGTCATGTATTGAGAACATTAAAGCATTAAACAGATGCAGAATGAATATAAATATAAATATGCATGGATGCACGTGTAGGATCGCCAATTTCTTTATCTTCAAATATCTCAACACGGAATGAGGTTTTTCCTTACCACTGTAATTCAGTGACATTAATTACATGTATCATGTTGTGCCGCCATCACTACTATCTGTTTACATTTTCGACCATCGAGTGTGAGTTTTGGGGGAGACCCTGTGAAAAGCAGCAAGGCTCTGATATTCTCTAGCGTCTCTGCTCATTTGGAAAACATGGCTTCTTTACTAAGTATGGGCCATCCTTCTTTACCTCATGAAAACCGAGATGAAAGAAACCGGCTGCTGCCTTCCAGAAACGAGAGAAAAACAGACGACTGAGTGTGGTTGGGTCCGTGATACCATTTACCTGGCATGGAAGCTTTCATGACTTCGCATGTAAGATACTGAATTAATACACAGCTTGAGTTGAACAACACTGGACATAATTTCATGTATGCCTTTAAAGGTCATAATCAGAATCAGCACATATCACCAAATACTATAACCTCTTAACTTTACAAATGCTTCTGACCAGACATTTTATGAAAAGATTGCAGTAAACTGACTTCTTGAGACCCCTTGACAGGAGTATTTGGGTCAACGTGCTTGTTCATGTCCATGTAGTCAAGTATGTCAGGGAAGCCTTTGTTCTGCGAAGCAAAGGGAGTCACTGATATTCTATTTGTTCCTTTGGCCCCATGCCTCTCTGGGAATTGACATTCGAAACGGAAAAGCAGCGTGTACTTGGTAGCTCTGATCCTTTCAAGGACACTTCCTCCACTCCCACCAAAACTCATGGATTAACCGCAAAGGACAGGGCATAAGTGGAAAACTACAGTTTGCTAAGTCAGTTTGCCAAACGGTTCTGATGACTACTGAGATCCTAATAGCTCTCCTTGATTTATTGATCACCTAACTAAATCTTTTTTTTCTTTGCTTGTCAAATTATCAAGATATAGATGCATTGTTCTTTGTAAAATAAATTATTTACATAAAAATCTCACTGCCATCGTATCAATTTTGACTCAACTCAACCCTACAGGAACAAAATAATTCCTGCCTTTGTGAGTTTCCAAGACTGCAAACCTTGATGGGAGTCGAGAAGCTCAGTGAAGAGGCTAGTGGTTTCAAACTGTGACCTTGTGGTTCGTAGCCCCATACATAACCCACTAAGCCACCCGGGCTACGTTTGCATAGAAAGGATGTACTAACTGAACGCATAGTTTAATTAGTCAGAAAATGTTTTGTATATTTTATTACTTAGAATTTTTTTAAGAATTAAATGAATTGCTTAGGTTTTCTGATGTTAGAAAATGCATGCTGTTGTTGACAGTCATCGGCTCGGCCCGACACATCCCACACCTACGTGCACTGCCCAGCCGTGGGCGTTCCTCTCAGTCTCAGTATGTTTGAGCCCATGGTCACAGCGACTGCGTCAGTGCATCTTATTGCGAGTCTTCCTCCTTATTTACTAACCTTTTGCTTTACCAAGCAGGACGTCCTTCTGTAGAGGTCGGTGCCTCCTGAAAACAGCCTCTTTTCAAAGGAGCATTCTGGCTGTACTTCTTCCAATACAGATTTGCTGCTTCTTCTGGCAGTCCGTGATGTATTCAATAGTCTTCACCAACATCATATTTCAAAGGCATCCATTCTTTGGCTGTCTTTATTCATTGTCCAGCTTTTACATGCAAATGAGTGATTGAACACATCCTGGCTTCAGTCGGGTACATCTATGTTTTCAAAGTGACACCCATTTAACACTTTAAAGAGATTTAGTTGGCAGTATATTTGCCCAATGCAACATATTATTTAATCTCACAACCATTGTCATTGATTGTGAATTCAAGTAAAATGAAATCCTTGAAAATCCTTATCCTATTGGTCCACTTGTGGGATTTTTGTTTTCTTTAGGTTGAGATGTAATCCATATTGAAGACTGGAGTCTTTGATCTTCTTCAGTAAGTGATCCAAGTCCTCTTCTTGGATTATTTGCTCAGTATACAGACTGACTAAGTCTGGCAAAAGGATACAGCCCCGATGCACATCTTTCTTGAGTTTAAACTCCCTGCTATCCCCTTGCTCTGTTCAAACAGTTGCCTTTCAGCCCAGGCATAGGGTCTGTAGGAGCACCTTCAAGGATGCAAGAACTCCCATTCTTTGAAATGGTGTCCATAGTTTGTTATGACCCACACAGTCGAATGCCTCTGCATAGTTAATAACATACTGGTCAACATTCTTCAGATGTTCTCTTTTTAGTCAGAAGCCATCCGATACCATCAGGGATAACCTCGGCCCCAGCGGCAGTTCCTTGTGGATGGACTGCTGCCACTGCTTTTATCTCCAACAAACCCTTGCTTTCACACCACGTTAATGCCATTCACCATTATTTCAACACTCTGCTGTATCACTTTTTTTTTTGGAAGAGACACAGATGTGTATCTCTTCTAGTTGGTTGGGTAGGTAGCTGTCTTTCAAATTTCACGCCATCCATGAGTGAGCATACTGGATGATAAAGGGTCTGGCACTGTGGAAGAATCATAGGAATGCTAACTACAAGGTCAGTGGCTCGATTCCATCCGCTGTCTAGTGAGGTTGTGGGTTCTGGTGAACCCTCTAAAGGGTAGCAACAAGTCAGAATCCACTCCATGGCAGGGGGTTTGTTTTTCAGCGACTGAAACTAGTGTTCAAAGCAGCATCGGTTTCCAAAGGATCTCACATTTCAAAGCCATCATTCTTTCCCCTGGTGGTAGGTGTCTGATATGTTTCCAGGAAATTGGGTCTGGCACTCAATAGTCAATACTTCTTTTGATGATAATTTTTGAATCCTGCTATATCTGAATGCGTTAGATGGTGTTTGCAGGAAACATCATGGTACTGTGGGACTTAGTAGCTGAGCGCATGGCTTTAATCTACAGGCTGGTGCTCACATCTTGATTCTACTGCTTACCAGCAGTATAGACCTTTGGCACATTTCAGACTCTTTTCCTCCAGTTACAATGGGGATAATAATACTGGCCTATCTTCCTTTTAAGTGCTCAACTGAACTCATTGCCATCAAGTCTCTTCTGACCCATACGAAATCTTTGTAAAGATTCCCAGGCTGCCCATCTTCACTGGAGCAGACAGTCTCTTCCTTCTCCTTGCAGGTAGTAGGCTGAAGCTTATCCCACAGCGCCACCAGGGCACCTTTTCAAGTGCCTAGTAGATTCAAATAGTTAATGTACTTGACTTCTAATAGCAAGGCTGGAGGTTTGAGTCAACTCAGAGGCATCTCAGAAGAAAGGTACGGAGATTAACGTTAGAAAAATCAGTTAATGAAAACCCTGTGGAGGACCGGTCTGTTCTGATACACATGGTGTGAGTAAATTCCATAGCAACTCTTTTAAAACTCTTTCATTTTTATCTGTAAGAATTTTATAAGCTAATGTAGAAAACGGGTATCCATTGCCATTAAGTTGATTCTGACTCAGGGTGACAGGATGGGTATTAGAGGAGAACTGTGCTCCATCAGGTTGCTAATGGTTGATTTTTCAGAAGTAGAGCTCTAGCCCTTCTCAGACATCACTGGATGGACTCAATTCTCCAACCTTTCAGTTAGCCATTGAGTGCATTACACTGTTTGCATTACCCAGGGACACCAAACACGAAGACTCTTACAAATACTAAATCCTAGTAACTCAGATTCAGAGCGTGGTGACAAGATTAATGACAGTGACATTGGTGATGGTAGTGCTTGTGTTGGGTTCAGTACCTACCATAGCAGACGAGCGTATAGTACTTGGCGTAGTCGCTGAATGTTGCTGTGTAATATTGGCACCTTTCTTTCCTTAGATGGCAAGTAATGCATTTCTTGCTTGGAGGATAGCCTCCAATGCTAATTCTAGAGAGAAATGAAAATAAAACTAAGCTGAAAATTTGAAATTATATTTATCAAAACATAAACACTATGTAAAGTGACAAATTTACATATTGACATCAAACCCACTCAAATTTCCTACTGCCAATGCCATTTATAATGTTTTGATGAAGTCTGAGATTTGATCCATTTCTGCTTGAATAGACTAGACATAAACCTTCTTTGGCTTCCCTGGGGTGGGAGAAATATATAACACCTCAAATGGTGCAGAGGGAGTCACCTAGATTCTACTAGCTAATGGGGATGTCACAGGTTTCTGTCTTCTCATTTCTCTTTGTCTGTCTCATGCTTCTGTATGTCCTGTGCCCTTTATTCCTCCTGGTTAGAACTTTAGGTTCATGGAAGCACAGCCTGGGTATGCATCTTTGCTGCATTCCTTCACAAGCCAGTCTGTGCCTACCTCCCTGGTCCCTCACTGTCTCCAGCAGAGTTTTTGAAATGGATCATTCACACACACACACACACACACACACACACACACACACACATTTCTGGTTATAAACCCAAACATGAAAAATCAGAATCATATGTAGGGGACATTTTCTAATCTTATCTTGCTAGATTCGATTATAGGAAGTTTCTGGTAGTGCAAACAATTAACATGCTCAGCTGCTAGCTGAAAGATGGGAGTTTTGAATCCACTTAAAGGAATCTTCGTAGAGAGACCTGGAGACTTTCTACCACAGATAGTGAACAAATGCATGCTAAAGGAACAAATAGCCTCAATTATCTCTAAACTTGTTTGTGCGATTTCAAACCATGTTTATATCAGTAGTAGACTTTCTTGGCTCTTCCTTTTGCAATAGACAAACATATTGACCTGGCCAGCATTATTTTGGGGGTTGGGGGTGGCGCTTTACATTTTCAAACTGATATTTTATACAATATCCTCTGGGTGTTTAATTTTAACTCATGAACAATGTTTTATCACATCTCTGGCTTTAAAAAATCATTTTACACACCATATATATATATATCATTTTACACACCCTATATATAAACTCTTATGTATTTTTTATTCATGTATCAACATAGAAGAGAATCAATTACCTATAGATATTTCTTCTTCCAGGATAGCCTTCAAATTCATTGCTAGAATAAAACCTGCAAATACATTCAGAAGTTATTAAAGAAGCATTGGTGATTAAATGATACAGTCAAACCAGTTGCTGACGGGTTGAATCTGACTCACGGGGTCCTAATGGACAAAGTAAGTTTCCCATCAAGTTTGCCAGGCTGTAAAAGTTTACGGAAACAGATTGCCACACCTTTCTACCGTGGAGCAGCTGAGGGTTTAAACTGATGACCTTCCAGTTAGCTGCTGTGTTCTTCACCACTGTGACACAAGGGCTCCAATGAAATGAATCACTGACATGAGCTCCCATTTCCCTTTGGAAAACTACCATTTTGAGCTGGCCAACATCTTTTGATTGTATATCTTTACTTTGATATGGTTCAAACATCTTCTGATTATTTTATCTTCACCCACAAAATATTTGTATGATGTTTATTTCTACTCTTCTGTGAGTTCAACGGAATATCACAAAATAGCTGTCTTGTTTTGTTCTCCCCAGAGATAGCACAACAGGGTGTGAAATGTCTAGAATAACCAAGGTGTGGTTACCAGCTTTTAATTCTCAGTCCTACTGGGCAAAGTCCAGCTCATAGTGCCTCACCGACATAAAACCTTGTTATTCTCTGGTAAAAGGAAAGGCAACAGAATACAATTCATTCCAAGGATGAAATTTCTCTTCTGATCTAGCATCCTCTTACATGTCTGATCATCGCTTCCACTTACCTTTCCCACATCAACTCAAGACTTCCTGTAACTAAGACTGCTCAGTCTCTTGCCCAGAGAGCTACCTGTAATTTTGTTTGTTTGTTTTGCCATCAAAGGTTCCTGATTCTCTTCATATCTATAACTTGCAACAAAATCCACCTGCCCTTGTTCTGTTCCATTTTCCACCCAGATCCAGTAATCTTCCAGTCTCACTAAATCTCTATGTTGGATTTCCCATCTCTTCCTTCTTCTCTTGCATTTAAGGAGTATTTTATTTATATTTCAGTAACGGCTTTGTATCAAGCACTAAGCTAAACGCTAAAAATGTCCTAAAAGAAGGCATCGCTCTGTCCTCTAAAAGTCTACATTTCATTGCCATTTTTCTAGTGTAGCCTCCATCACCTTGAGCCAAGGTTATGACCATTACTGGGTTGTGCTTGCTTGCAGCCACCTTTACTTTCTAAATATATTGTGCCTGAAAATTCCCTTCCTTTTTTTCATATTGTCTTTCTTACTACTCAGGGGATTTCAATGCCCCTACTATAACCTCCAAATTTGTTTGCTCATTATTAATATACTCCAATAGATTGGCAACAGGTTTCAGACAGGTTTTTCTTCAATTACCATGAACAAATCATCTCAGATTTCATCCTAGAACTTCAGTAAACAGAGGGCAGATCAGGAGCACTGAGAGTACCCTTGAATTTAAACTTCATTAACAATGAGGGGAAGGAACTGTATACACTCTTGGAGTAAAGAGTTTTAATCAAAAATGGCTATTTTTAGATGGATTAGTTGTGTACACCAGACTTAAACAGGCTGGAACAGGAAGAAAGCAGCCCTAGGTTAAGGTCCATAACAGTTGAAGAGTGTTCTGGATGTGAATCCTGTCAAATAAATAACTGTGTGGTCTTGGCTGAGTTACTTAATTCTCTGAGTCATAGTTGTCTCATCTGTAAACCGGGTGTAATCATGTCTACTTCATGGTATCTGATGTACAGTAGTTTATCAATAAATGATAGCTGCAGATAATTATTTTATACTTACATAACAGTGAATGACTATAAATAATTACCATGCTGAAAGATCAAGTTTGTTTTCAGAGCCAGTTATTATTTTAAGGAGTTTATTCTTTGTATGAAAGTAGAAAAGTGAGCACGTACTAAACCATTGGTTCTCAACCTTCCTAATGACACCACCCTTTTATACAGTTCTTCATGTCATGGTGACTCCCAACCATAAAATTATTTCCATTGCTACTGCATAACTGTAATTTTGCTATTGTTATGAATTGTAATTAAATATCTGATATGCAGGATGTGTTTTCATTCTATAAAGTGAACATAATTAAAGCATAGATTAATCACAAAAATAATAAAAATATATTGTGATATATTTATTTCTAGTTACAAATAAATGAAATTTTGTCTTGAAGCATGGTGTCGCATGGGTAACAGTCTTCATGCTGGGTACTCGTATGTGGATGTATCTGCATGTGGGTGGGCCCGCCAGGAGATGGATAAAGGAGCGGTGTCTCAGTTCCTAAGACCATCAGAAATATGTGTTTTCTGATCGTCTTAAGGGACCCCTGTGAAAGGGTTGGGCGACCCCCAAAGGGATCATGACCCACAGGTTGAGAACCACTGTACTATATGTTCTTTCCAAAAGCAAATCAGATTGACTAGTTATTAAGGAATGTGTTATCTTAATGGAATTATACTAGAGAGTAAGTATAAACAAAAATACTCTTTACTAAACGAGGTAGTGCAGTATCATTTGCTCGCCCACCAGTGCCAATTAAAACCTGAATGGTACATCATGCAATACTTACAGTGAATCCTGTGTTACTCTGAATATATATATGGCCTCCCACTTGCCACTTGTAATTTGAATAGCATTTTCCTATAAAAAGACAAGCATTATGTTGTGTGAAGCTCAGCGTTATTTGAGCAACCCCAAGTGAATGATCTTTAAAGAGATAAATCTTGGAATGAACATACCACAGTGTCTTTGATATAGTGAATATGTTTGTAGCCGTCCTTGTCGCTCAATATTTTGTAGTATGAAATGGCATCAGAACCAAAAACTGGTGTCGAAACAAAGAACTGAAAGAAATGAACAGAGCTTACATTCGTTCAAGAGACAAAGTACACGGGACAGCCGCTCACCGTTATGTACACAGAACGCCTTGTCTGCTCACCTGCCACTGCTCACATGGGGAATTCTATTATCATCAGACAGACGGCTTTTCCAGTTACTCTGCCAGCCATTTGTGTATTCCTACAGTATCCAGGCGACTGTGCCTCCCTGGATTTATGCAATCTGATTTGATTTAATTTTAATCCTTTGAGATAGTGTTTTTTAAAGAAGAGTTAAAGGAATCGCAGGTGAATGTTGATATTTAACCAGGTCAAATTTCAAAATTTTGATATGGGACCAAAAATGTGACTCGCATTAAGCTTTATAAGTTCTTTAATTCTTGACTTATCTGATGCCAAGGCCCTAATACAAACACAATGAAGGCATCTTAAAAACAATTGCCTGGAATCACAGATTTAATGGGAAGAGGGGGGTTTCTAGAGGTCGAGAGAAAAATACTTCCAAAGTGGGGGTTACTCCGAAATTCAGAGCAGACCTCACTGCCCTTCTTTGACTTCTCCTAGGGTGCCCTCTGAACACCCTCTAGAACTGCCTAATCCCCCCAGGGGTCCAGGAGCTTCAGCTGCAGCGTGTCCTGGAACATACATAGCAAGCTGCATTTCATGATCCCACATGGTATGGAAGAGCGAAATCCTGCAAAAGCCCTCACACCAAACGAGGTGGTAGTTTCATCTATTTCTCCCATTAAATAAATCATTAACTGCTTTACGTTTGCCAAGGTCTTCCCTGGTCACTCAGGGACTATAACAGAAAAGGCAGTAAAGTGGTGAGAGAACAGCAGGAGACAGCTCAGGCAGAATAGAGAGTCCCACAAAGAATCCAAGAGCAGCCCTCTTTTGTGGGGCCCTCCAAATGACAATGAGCCAAGACTTTCAGCTCCTTTCAGTCTGCACCAAGCAAACATACTGGTGGCTTTTAGTTACTAAAGGCTTGCTGACACTCAGTATGGACATGCGCTGGAGCAGAAAGCAAGCAGGGAAAGTCGTTATAGCCTCTCTCCTGATAACACTGTACATCATCTGATACTTGTTGCCTTATTTGACACGTTGAGGATTATTTCCCTTCAAGTGATCATGATTGCAAGATAATAAGAGGCAACTTATTTAACGTGGTGTCTGTAATGCCCTCTGAAAATTCATGTCTCTGAAACTTCAGAAGGTTGGCTTATTTGCAAATAAGGTTTTTGTAGATGAAACCAGTTGAAGGTGGAGATGTGATCGAACTGGTTTAGGATGGGCTCTAAATACAATGACTGATGTCCTTCTAAGAGAAAGAGAGGACATACAGGGAGACAGGGAGGAAAGTCGAGATTGGAATGATGCAACTTAATGTTAAGAAGCACTAAGGATTATTGGGAGTGACCGGACACTGAAAAGAGGCAAAGGACGAGTCTCTCCTAGAACTTTAAGAAGGAGACTGACCCTAGAGACCTCTTGATTTTGGACTTCCAGATTCAAGACTGTGATCGAATACATTTCTATTTGCTTGAAGACATTCAGTGTGTGATAATTTGTCACTAATTTGTCACAACCGTCCTAGGAAACTAATTTGGTGTCATAAGTCTCAAAGAATTGGTATCATAAACAAAATGAAAATTAAGATAATCAGAAACTGCCACCTCCTTACATAAATCCCTTACTAGGTTCATGAATAATAAAACCAGCTTCTGTCAGATTATTGTGTATTGAAACTCAGGCCTCTAAGTAAAATCAGGCAAAATTGAGAGCTCTGAGGCTCAAGCGTGTGGTTGCTATTAGGTGCCATTGAGTCCATGCTGACTCATAGTGGTTTTAGGTACAACAGAAAGAAACACTGCCCAGTCCTGCGCCACCCTCACAATTGCTCCTATGTTTGAGCCACAGTTGTGGCCACTCTGTTGATTTATTTCATCAAGTACCTTCCTCTTTTTTGCTTCTCCTCCATTTTACCAAGCATTTTACCAGTCCTTTTCCAGGGACTGGTTTTGACTGATAACAAGTCCAGAGTCGGCGAAACTAAGTCTCACCATGCTGGCCTCTAAGAAGCATTCTGGCTGTCCTTCATCCAAGACAGAAACTTGTTCTTTAAGCAGTCCATGTTGCTTTCAATATGCTCTGCAGCAGCATCACAATTTACCGTATATACTTGAGTATAATCTGAGTTTTTCAGCACATTTTTGTGTGCAATTAGGTTCCTCAGCTGATATTCGGGTTGACTTATACTCGAGCATATATGGTACTTGATCGTTTTCAGTTTTCCTTATTCATTGGCCAACTTTCACATGCATATGAGGCAATGGAAAATACCATGGTGTGTGTGGTTCACGTGAATCTTCGTCTTCATAGTAATATCCTTGCTTTTAATCTTTAAAGAGATCTTGTGCAGCAGACTTACCGAATGCCATGCATCGTTTGAGCTCAGATTGTTGCTTCTATGAGCACTGATGGTGGTTCAAGCAAGATGAAATCTTGACAACTTCAATCTTTTCTCTGTTTAGCCTGATATTCCCTATTGGTCTAGTTGTGAAAACTTTGGTTTTCTTCACAGTAATTTGTGATCCATAACAAAGGCTATAATCCTTGAACTTCATCAGCAAGTACTTCACGTTCTCCTCACTTTCAGCAAGCAAGGGTGTGTCATCTGTATATCACAGTTTGTTTAATAAGCCTTCCTCCAATCCTGATGCCACATTCTTTTTATACCATCCAGTTTCTCGGATTATTTAGTAACAATACAGATTGAGTAAGTATGGTGAGAGGATTCAACCCTGACACACACCTTCCCTGACTTTAAACCATGCAGTATTTCCTTGATCTGTTTGCACAACAGCCTTTGATCCATGTACAGGTTCCACAAGAGCACAAAAGAGTGTTCTGGAATTCCCATTCTTCTCAAGATTATCCTTAGGTTGTTATGACTCACATAGACAAATATCTATGCAAAGTCAATGAAACACAAGTAAATAACTGTCTGGTATTCCCTGCTTTGGGACAAGATGCAGCTGACACCATCAATGATATCCCTTGTTCCACATCCTCTTCTAAACTTTTGGCAGCTTCCTGTCAACATACTGCTGCAACCATTGTTGGATGATCTTCAGCAAAATTTTATTTGCATGTGATATCAGTGATACTGTTCTCTAATGTGAGCATTCTGTTGGATCACTTTTCTTTGGAATGGGTACAAATGTGGATCGCTTCTAGTCAGTTGGCCAAGTAGTTTTCTTCCAGGACAAAGTGGGAGGGCTTGCTCTACCTGATTTTAGCACCTATTATATGGCCACGGTGGTTAAAACAGTGTGGTATAATGTACTGGTTAAAACAGTGTGGTAAAACAGTGTGGTATAAGTACTGGTATATTGACAGGTATTAAGATCGATGGTAAAGAGCTGAAAACCCAGAAATGAAATAATCAGCATACAGACAACTGATCTTTGATAAAGGCCCCAAAAATATCAAATGGGAAGCAGATTCCCTCTTCAATAAGTGGTGTTGAAAAAATGGATATCTACCTGCAGAAAAACAAAGCAAGACCCTTACCTTACTTCATACACAAGAATAAACTCAAGGTGGATCACAGACCTTGAGATAAAACCCCAAACTATTAGGGCCATTAATGCGGGCATTGGGACAAACTCAAGAACCCTGGCACAGGGAATACATAGGCTATCGGAAACAGGGAAGGATACAAATACAGAGGAATCACAAGTTAACAAGTGAGAGATACTGAAGATAAATCACCTGTGTACATCGAAAGAATTCACCTAGAGAGTAATAAGAGAGACCATGGACTGGGAAAACATCTTTAGCAATGACCCATCAGACAAAGGCCTTATTGCTAAAATCTACAATATTTTACAAGCTTACAATAAGAAAATAAACTAACTGCCTACTAAGGAGGTGGGCAAATGACCTAAATAGAAGTTTCACAGAGGCAGAAATCTGAATGGCCAGTAAACATATGAGAAAATGTTCCCGATCATTAGCTGTAAGAGAAATGCAAATTAAAACAATTATGAGATACCACTTAACACCCTGAAAGATAGCCCAATTCAAAAAAGTCAGAAAGTAACAAGTGTTGGAGGGGCTGTGGGGAGATAGGAACTCTAGTCCACTGTTGGTGGACCTTTAGGTATGTACAGCCACTATGGAAATTGATTTGGCAATATCTACAACAGATGGAAATTGAGCTACCATACAACCCAGCAATCCCTCTGCTGGGCATATTCCCAGAAGATGCAAGAAACAAACCACAGCCAGACATTTGTGCTCCAATGTTCATCGCAGCACAGGTCACAATTGCAAGGAGTTGGAAACAACCCAAATTTCCATCAACAGATGAATGGATCAAAAAACCGTGGTACATACATATAATGGAGTACTATGCATCCCTAAAAAGCAATGATGAATGCATGAAGCACATTGCCACATGGGAAGAACTGGAGGAAATCATGCTAATTGAAGTAAGC